TCCGCACTGAAATACTTGTCGGGAGGATACTTTATAAAACAAGGTAAACATTTTTTTTATTTTTTTTTATTTTTACACACATATTTTGGTTTATCTTCCTTCTACAATCATTATCTGAAAATTAATGACTCAACTTCAAACTCACCCTGTATATATATATATATATGTATATATACTTTCACATTCCTTATCCGAGTGCCACACGATGAAGGTTGTTCAAACAAGAGCATACATTACCCATTGATAATTTGGATTTTACAGCAAAAACTCAACATAGCAAACATGGTAAATTGTTACCGAATTCGTCTCGCGCCATCATCTGCGGACCAAGCGGATGTGGAAAAACGAACGTAATGCTGGCGCTGCTTTTCCATCCGAACGGTGCTTAATTTAAAAAGGTTTATGTTTATTCAAAATACTTGTATCAACCAAAGTTCGACTGCTTCAATAAGTGATTTCCGCTGCTAAGGGCGTTGTTTATTTCGCATTTAAGGATAATGAAGAACTTATAAGGCCGAGTAAGGCTAAAAATAGCTCTATATCAATCGTTGACGACGTTTCGTGTGATGGACAGCAGAAAATTCGAGAGTATCACTCCATGTGTCGTCATAAGGATATCGATGCTGCATACCTCTGCCAAACATACTCTAAAATTCCAAAACAGCTCATATGAGACAACTGTAACATAATAATATTATTTAGGCAAGATGAAATTAATCTAAAACATATATTTGATGAACATGTATCTCCAGATGTTACCTTTGAAGTATTTAAAAAAATGTGTTCGGCATGTTGGACAGAAAACTACGGCACGTTAGTTATTGTTAAAGACTTTCCTCTTAATTATGGTCGATACAGAGTAGGCTTTGACAAATACATAAAATCGTAGGCTTATCATGTACGTGATCATTCAGTAACATGATGTCAAAGGACCAAGTTGCCGTTGCTAGTCATAAGAGAAAGATCGCAGAACTTGCTCGAGCTATACGTAAAAAGTATCTTGCTTCAAAGTTGGGTAGAACTGCAGAAGATGAATCTATTAGGAAACTTTTCAAACCAATATCTGAATCTCTTCAGCAATTGGCTAAGGCACAGCAGCCTCAGCATCCTTCCTTTATTGTTAAAAAAGAAGAAAAATTGAAACAGGATGATGACGATGATGATGTATTCACAGAATCCAACTATCTCAATTTAGAAGATGTGGCTTCAACCGATGAACAAGGTAATATACCGAGACCAGAAACAGCTGAAGAAGAAGAAGAAATGCATCCTGATGATGACGATATTTCACAAGAAGCAATAGCAAAATACTTAGATCAATACCCCCCAATAAGTCTTAATTACTTACAAGATTTTTGGACACAATGCGATAAAATTGATAAAAATTATGGACTTATATATACCGACAATATTGGTTGGATGTTAGGTAAACGCAGAATTATATTTGATAGAGCGACTGGTCAAATACAGATATTACCTGAGGGTAACTTAGCAGGTGCATGGCTTCGTGGGTTGTATCAACTTTTATTCTATAATGACCCAAGCTATAGTGATGAAGATTTAAAACCCTATAAAAACCTATTGCAAAGTACCGGTGTTCATTTAGATTCGCTTGGACGCCTAAAAGCTTCGACAGGTTTTAAATATAATCACATTATTAAACCTCTCTTTAAAGATGTGCAGAAAAATAAAAAAGGTTCGATAGTCGCACGATCAACATCTACAAAAATACGTAGTCCACTTAGTCGATCAGTAACAAGCTCAACAACAACAGCAACACCAAAACCACCACCACCACCAACAGGAAAAGGCATCGGTGATTATTTGACATAAAACGAGGATCCAATCGAATACGTGTACTGGGATGATCCCAATGGATTAATCAATCGACTTAAGCTCCTTATGGCATCTCAGGAATCTGGCAATATGTCGCATGATAATGAAATAGTAGCCATCCTCAATGAGCTGACAGAAGCTAATATAATACAGTAATCTAGCTGCAGGCCTTTCATTTACACGATGAGTCTTGATAAATTCGGACGTCGCTTTGATAAACAAAAGAAACTTCCGTAAATGCGTATAATACCTCCAAAGTTAACCTTCCCCATACTTTTGATGGAAATGTTGACTTTAAGAACGTAAAGTTTTGTAATATAAAAGATCCTACAGATTATTCAGATGCGGCAACTAAAAAATACGTAGATACGTCAGTGATTGGTTTTAAACAAAAAATAACAGCAAAAACAGATCCATTAACAGTTTATTCCGAGAAATCCGCCTACATCTGGTAAACATATAGCAACAAAAAAATATGTAGACGAATCTATTGCAAATATAACAACAAGAATAAGACAGGAACTGGATACGATTCAGTCTTATACAGATTTGATTCCAATACGGAAAAATATTATTGATTTATCCTCTCAATTCCAACTTTTGCAAGGACGAACATCAGATGTATCAGTGAGAACATATGATCTTGATAAACGTATAAAGCCTATGGAACAATGATTTAAAGCGTAGGAACATGACGTACGCCAAGGAGAAGATACAACTAGTTAACGAGCTGCACAAGCTCGAAAAGATTATCCGAGATGACGTACAATCATTAAAGGCTTAGACGATTTACGGCAGACGGACTTGGCTGAAATGCGACCTTACGCTCATAAAAATAAAAATCTCAAATTATTTCTCGTTGTAATCGATTCTTTTTCCAAGTCTATGTGGACTAGACCGTTAAAGACAAATACGGCTGAGGATATAACTCGTGCGTTTTCGGATATCCTCACACATACGAAACGTACATCGAAAAATCTACAATCTGATCAAGGTAAAGAATTTTACAATAGTAAATTTTAAACTTTAATGAAGAAACATGATATTAATCATTATAGCACATATAGCATCAAGAAAGCAGCCATTGTTGAAAGAGCCAAAAGAACGTTGAAGAATAAACTTTACAAGTACCTTAGCTTAATGGGATTGTATAAATGGATTGATATATTGTGCATGCACATGTGCATGGGGCTCGTTCTGGTTGGTGCTGGCGCGGGCGTACTACGGGGGGTGTAGATAGCGTTTGTGGCGTTCGTGGTAGGTGTTGGGGTTGGTGATGCGCGGGTAAGTTTGCGTTGTGTACTTTGAGGGATAGGGATATTTTTCAACATAATAGATTGGAAAACACGTCTATGCGTAAGTGATGTGGCTCATTTCATGTTTTGCGGTAAATATTTGCATCTAAATCGATAAAAGCCTATGAATAATGGTAATTATAGATCCAATTCTGCGGATTCAGTTTAAATGGGAAAATACGTATGTATTATAAAATTCGCGGGAACAATGCGTATAGGATGATCTCAATAGTCAACACATCATATTCAGTGGGCATATAAAAATGGAATTGCTCATATGTGGTGCGTACAGTTAATAATTAGCAATAGATGCAGTTGCACCTTATCTACATACAGGCTTGTAAAGTTCGTGCGTGAAGTGATTGTAAATAATTTCTGGTAAGTTTTAATTTTTAACATTGATGCAATATTGAAAACATAGTACAGTCTATATTGTGTATCTAATAAATTCCAACAAGGCAATCACCTACGTTGCAAATGAGGCTAGGTAGATAGTCGTTCAGCGCAGGTGTTGTCGTAGCGGTGATATGCAAGAAGTACCGGGCGGGACAGTCAAGCATGGCTGAATGGGCGGGGAGCGCAGGCTGTCAACGGGTTAATACCGGCCAACGATAACAGCGGTGACCTTGGAACACTGTGGTCAGTTAAAAAGTGGTGGGGATAAAATCGAGATTATAAATACCTATGAATCACCGCAAATTATCTATCTATTGGTAAGATGACTTGAAACTCTTGATTTCTCGAAAACAAGAGTTTCAAGAGAAACTAGCAGACCCTCTATCGATGATCGCTTAACGACATCGATAGAATGTGCGAGGTAAAGGGAACCAACCCGGCGTTCCCAGAGACTGAAACACATGAGGAGACGTTGTAGCAGACCGCAGGTCACGCACAACACATGGCCTACCGAGACGCTGATGAGTCGGGCCACGCGGAGGTTTAGGGTTTAGTGGGTATTAGGTGATCTCTTCAAGACCCTGGAGCCCCACACACGTCGTAGCTCGTGCTATGGTATGGTGCGTAAATGCATTCCCCCCTCGTTAAAAAAAAAAAAAAAAAAAAAATTATCTACAGTTCCGAGCTAGCAGCCGTCGCGAGTATACACTTGTGCGACTGCGACCCACCCGGACTTACAGTGCAATCCTATTGTGATTTTCA